AGAGGCGGCGAGCTCGCCGTGACCCTTCATGCAGGTCGCCGCCCCTCCCTCTCTCTCTCTCTCTCTCTCTCTCTCTCTCTCTCTCTTTCTCTGCGTTTCGGACGCAAAGCGGGAATGAACCCGTTCGTTTTTTTTTGTTTTTTTTTTTTCCGTTCTTTTTTTCCCGTTTTTTTCGTACCTTTCAGGCCGACGTTCGGGATGCCTGCGCCCGGTAGTCCGAGCCTCGGCACGGATCGGCGTACCGGTCGGCCGAGGCTCGGACTCGACAGCTGGGCCAGGTACTGGTGGTTTAAAGTAATTAAATTGTTTCTTAAGTCTGGTTCTGACTCATCAGTGTTTTTCTGTTGTATGTGTCCTCCGGCTTTCCGAAGCAGAGTTTTTAAGAAGAAGTTGGCACAGGATGTAATGATGATACTCGTAAAATGAGTCGATGGGTGTTCTTCGTCCTATCCTCCTTCTATTGACAAACTTCTTCACGAATTTAAGGATGTGCAAACTGAACCAACGGGAATAACTGAATGTGCTACCAAGCATACAATTGAGATCATTCCCAGAAGTAAGATTCCCAAAGGACCCATCTATCGAATGTCTCCTAGGGAATTGGAAGAACTAAAGAAACAACTGCATGAACTTTCTGAACAAGGATGGATTCGACCAAGTTTCTCTGCTTATGATGCTCCTATCTTGTTTGTACCTAAAAAGGAAGAAGAACTTAAGACTGTTCATAAATTATCAAGGATTGAATTTCGTTACTGTGAAGAATGCGGAACCCCTTCCTCACATTTATGATTTGCTTGATCAGTTGCAGGGATGTAAGTACTTCAGTAAGATTGATATGAAGTCAGGATACCACCAGATCGAGGTGGCACCTGAAGATCAACACAAGACCGCCTCTTGAACAAGGTATGGACACTATGAGCTTGTGGTTATGCCTTTCAAACTGACTAACGCACGAGCTACTTTTCAAAGATCTGTGAATGAGTTATTTTGTCAATGGTTGGATCAGTTCGTAGTAGTGTATCTCGAGGACATCCTCGTGTATAGTAAGACACTTGAGCAACATGAGAAACACTTGCGAATGATTTTACAGAAGTTGCGAGAGGACAACTATAAACTGAACCCTAAGAAATAAGAGTTTGCTTAACCCGAAGTACTATACCTTGGACACATAATGAACGAATAAGGATTAAGGCCTTAAGAGAAAAAAATAACAGCTATTTGGGATTGGCCCAGACATAAGACTGTCACCAAATTAATATTTTTTCTAGGACTTGCTAGTTCCTACAGGAAGCTTGTAAGAAACTTGTCACTGATAGTTGTGCCTATGAGAAGATTGTTAAAGAAAGAAAAATCTTGGTTATGGGACAAAGATTGTGAGTCTGCATTCAGCCACAAAAGCAGTTCGAGGTATAATTAAAATCTCAACCCTCGTCTGGAGCTATATGGTTCAGTAAGAAAGAACTTCTACCTACTGCTCCCGATATTGTTTCTGCATACGAGCGTGGATTAAAAGGTAACTAGCCTAAAATTTCTGCGACGGGCCTTGAAAATTGAGCCGGCAGGAATACAATAACCCGCTTAGAATATGCTATGGACCATGGCCAGGGATCACCATAGGCCACAGCAAGCCTTGTGCTGGGCTGTACCGACATAGGCCTGAAACAAAGGCCTCAGAGGCCGTGTGCCCGACAGTTGACTAAAGTCAACTGTAACTCGAAATATTTAGGCTCATGAGTCAAGGTCTTCACGGACCCAGTCCAGGCCATTGATCAGACACAGACATTGGTTGTACGCAGGTATCGAGGCAGAATCTGGTCCAAGTGGAAGTCTGCAACTGTATGAGATCCAGGCCATTGACTGTGAGTCAATCTGAGCCCTCATATCCGGGAGACCAGAGGCTGGTCAACTTGTGACTACACTACTTATTGACCCAGCACCTGTCATCGACATTCAGTCTTGCACTTGCTGCTCGACGCTGGCACGACGCTGGCTGGACGCTGGCTTGATGCTGGCACTATGATGTGTGACGACGACGCGAGACTGTTGCATTGCGTGTCGGTGCCTCTCTGCTGCGCCAACTGGAGACTTGATTGCTGAGGTGGCACTTGCCACATTTTGCTCGACACAGATTGGGGTATCGACGAGGAGGGTGATCAGGGCTGTGAGATTGGTTGTGGGAGAGAGAGGGAAGCTTTCCTGATTGATGCTGTCAACATTGCGCGCTGCTGTGATGTCTTCATAAGAGATCTGTGCCTACGTGGCACTATGCTGTGATTTGTTCTTGGCAGGCTCGTCTTTGGGATACTGTTTCCTGACGTAGAAAAGGGGAGATGCCCGAAGGAGGAGTGGGATATGAGGGAGATCTATCTTCGATGACATTGATGCATACTTTCTCTTCCACCCTCTAAGTCTTATCTCCCTCCTATCAGCTTCATCCTTTGGTTACGAGACATTGTACTTCAGATCTCATTCATGATTATTGGAGACATTGACAGGCGCTGAGACATCTTGTATTTCGACTTTGACGAGTTTCCTTCCAGACTGGGGTCATTGCAGAGGGAGAGGAAAACTAATTAATGTGAATGGGGTTCACCCCCAGGTTGTGTGACTGTGTGTGTGTGTGTGTGTGTGTGTGTGTGTGTGTGTGTGTGTGTGTGTGTGTGTGTGTGTGTGTGTGTGCGTGCTTAGCCTAATTTGCGCACATGCAATGGCATAGGAGTTTTAGTTCGATTATGCTTACAACATGGATCTTGTGCAGACCATGTGGTACAAGGATCAGCAAGTGATGCTGGTCACAACATTGCCAAACTTCCTAATCTTGATGAATAAGTGGAACCACCATAGAAAAGGCTGAGTGAATTGGTATTGTTTGCATGTATGCGTTCGATGTTTGGAGGCGAATCGTGAGAACGTGTCCTGTGACTCGTGTATTTTGCAAAGTGATTGTGACATTTGGTTAACTGCTCACCTCATGTTGGCTCTGAAAGATGGATGCATGTGCCACATCGACTTGCTCAGCAATTTGCAGTTGTCTATTTGAGGTATCACAAATATGTTTTCTTTTTTAAATAATAATTTGAACCATTTCTCGATTTATGCGTGTCATCCTTGTGCAGGGGCCGTGCTATTCTTTTATGTATCGTCCCGATGTTAACCAATGTCCCGGAGGAATCTTATGTGCAGTGATATCTTGGTAGCAAGAGGATATTTATGTGAATGACTCTCTGGCCAATGTTTCTTGGGAGGTCTGCGGAAGTGTAGATTGCATTGCTTTGCAGGGCACTGGAAGAAGTACAATCATGAAGTCATTTGCACTGAGCAACACAGGATCCAGGTTGGGACTCCGTGGACCCTCGCCTCCTTCCAGCGGTGATAAAAACAACAGCCAGGTGCTGCTGCTGCAGCACAGCCAGTTACCACCACCAAGTTATCAAGACTTCCCGTTTGCCAGTGCTGGTAAAAAAAACGGCCAGCCGCAGCGACTGCACAGTCAATTACCAAGCTCCTGCTGCTCTTTGGGGAAGACGGTCAGCTGTCCGGAACGTTGTCGAAGAACACCCTGCGCGGCTGGCAGGAATAATAGGTTGGTGGGCGGCCTGGCGAGACCTACTTTTCCATGTATTCGCCAGATACATCCTTGGATTTATCCCCCATGTCTCCTTGAGTGATGCGACAGGATTTCCCAGGGCAAATGGACAAGAGGAGGCACACAACCCTGTCCATCCCAGACAACGGAGGAAGGCAGGTTGCATAGTACGCCGGAAACTGAATACCAACAGCCTAAGGATTCAGGCAAAGAAGAAGGACGAGCAGGGAAAGGGTAATGGAGATGGGGTTTTGGTGGGCTGTGATTGCAATGGGGAAGTGGCAGATGTCTTGCAGAAATCAGAGGAGCTGGCACGGACTCGACAATTGGTGGAGACTGCAATGCTTGCAGCGACGGCAGGACTAGCATTCTTCATCACAAACCTTCTGCGACTGGAGGGGTATATAGGGTGTTTTCTTCCCCTTCCGCCAGTAATTGCAGCATTGCGGTGGAATGCTGCTGCCGGGCGAAAAACGATGGTAGCGACATTGCTATTGCTGTTCCTCATCGGCGGTCCTCTGAAGGCGGTATCGTATGTGTTACTGCACGGCATGTTGGGCATGGTTATGGGAGGGCTATGGAGTTGGCATGTGAGCTGGACGTCCTCGTTGCTGCTCTGCACGTTTGTGCGGATGTTGGGGCTGATATTGTCTGTGGCTATGTCGTCCTGGTTCATAAAAGAGAATCTTTTAGCGTTGTTAATCAATCAAGCACATGCGTCGCTGGGGCAACTGTGTGTTTTCCTCGGAATCAATGCCTCTCCCAGTGTTTCCCTCATCATCATGGCTGTGTGCGCACTGGTGTTCCTAAACTGCATCGTCTTTGTGTTTCTGTTACATGTGCTGTACGCAGTCATCTTACACCGCCTCGGCATTCCTTCAGCAATTGAAGCGCCTGGATGGATCAAGCGATCATTAACGCCCTGATGCATTCTCAGAGTCTGTATTTTATGGAGTGCAGTAGAATGTGCATAGTACCACATCCGTCTTCAAAGGAATAGATCAGTCTGTCCCATCCTTGTTCGTTTCAGCTGGAGATGCAATCTGCTGATAGCTGGAGGCATCATAATGTCACTCGTGGAATGCGACTCTCTCTCTCTCTCTCTCTCTCTCTCTCTCTCTCTCT